TACTAAGTTGGTGATATATCCCAAAACAGTAGCCTGAACGATGGTCACCATCAGGACAAGAGGAAGCCCATGCTCGTGGGTTCGACAGCCAGCGGCGTCGGAGACCCAGAGCCCTGACACGGGAGAATAGTACAAGGTGCTGCCCCCCAAAGTCATGGTTGTTGGCTGATAAACCCATATAACATCATATAACATCATATAACTAATTATATAGTCAAAGATAATCCAATATAATATATATATATATATACCATAGACCCTAGATATCCATAGCTAACCATCTATGCTAACGACCTGGGGCACCACCTTGTAGGTTGTCTTGGTTTACTAAGATGTTTTTTTATGCCCCCATATACTAGGGGATGGGGCTCCTGGTGGTCAATATCAACCCGAAAGAAATTAGGCGTCTGAATGTCAAGTTGTGGCCTTTGACTGGGTACCTCCAGATTTCCAGCATCATTACGGAAAAAATGAAACTATCCTGGTTGGTGGTGTACCCACACTTCTGAAAAATATGAAAGTCAGTTGGGATGATTATTCCCAATATATGGAGAATAAAAAATCAAACATACTGCAGATCATTGATGGATTATGATGGAGTATGATGGATAAAAAAACACTTTTTTTTCTCACCGTCTTCATGAATGTGCATAAGCTAAACACATTTTTTTCAGTGTCTAAGTTTTAGCCACGTGCAGTGGAATCAATCCTGGACAATACTATCCATGGATAGAACTCGGGCATCTTTCTTGATTATCCTAGCAGAACTGGGCTGTGAATTGTTTTTAGGTTGCCTTCTTATTTTTTGAACCGACCATCATCATGAGATGACTGAGATGACTTACGAAATGGCACAGAACACCCTTAAGCGCAAACCGCAAACGCCGTCACATCCGCCCGATCCAAGATCGGTGTTGCAGGTGGGTCCTGGAAGTTATGGCGGAAGCATAGAGACCATGCTTTTGAAGAAGACTTACAATGTCACCACGCAGGCTGGGGCTGGTTGGGATGAAGGAGTTGCACAGTTGCGACTTTTCAGTAAGCTTTGTTTGGTGAGATTTGGGGCGTTTGATATTTGTATATATATATATAAAGGAACAACAACATAGAGAATGTAGGGTTCTCTACATTAAAAAAACATAAAAAACAAAGAACAAAAAAAACAAGAGGAAACAGAAAAAACATAAAAAAACAAAGAACAAAAAAAACAAGAGGAAACAGAAGAACCAAACCAGAGAACCAAAAGCAACAAAACAAATGAGAAACAAAGCACAAACAAAAAAAAAAACAAAACTATGAACAAGACAATTAGTTATTTTGCTTAGAAAAAAATGGTCAATTCGTTTTCTGAGGGTTTGTTTTTTGCGGGAATCTGTTTTTGATTCTGTGTTTGTTTTTTTGGCCAAAGTCAACTTTCTTTGTTCAAGCTGATTACTTAAACATATATATATACACATACACAGCACATATGTACAATTGTGTAACAAATTATATAGTCTATACATTTATTTTTGATTTCTGTATGTATTTATCTATACACATAAATATGTAGGTTGGTTGGATGTTTTTTGGGGTGGCCATTTGAAATTTGGTGTCTGTGTGTGTGCTACACCCATTTTCACCAACAGAACTTGAACGTGGCCATGTTTGCTTATGTGACTTCTATAGTTTTGTTACTGATGATAGAGTATCCCCCTTTGTCCTCGGTTGATGAGTCCTATCAAATCTCCCAGAAATTTGGGCCAAATCCACCTTTGAAAATGCCAGGGGTAACTGTGGGTTTGGTCTGAAAATGGGATACCCCGGCCCCAACACCCCAAAATCCCATGTTTGTCATGTTTTTCTATGACATGGCCGTTTGATTGGTCACTTCACCATGTTCAGTCACACCCAAATTTGAAACTTGGCATTGAACTAACCAAATATTAACCATAATTAGAAATCACATGAAATCACCCAAATTAGAAATTTTGCATTTGATGTTTAATTAACCATACTCACAACACATCAACATCGTTTTTTTTTACGTTCGGAATCCCTTGGGAGAATCTCTTCGTCGCGACGAACTGGGAACTGGCGGAGTCCAGGTCGCCAGGTTTGGTGGTTGTATAATGTTATATAAACTCATATAACATGTTATATGATCATATATCATGTTATTTAACATATATATATATATACACATGGTATTTTATTATATTATATGATCTTATGATATTATATCCCATAAACTTATTATCTATATCCCCATGTTTTTTTTCCTTAATCCCTCCGTCGTTTTTTCTGAACATTGACCCAACCACACCTCCAGAGGCGCGCAGCTCGATCGCGACTTGGCGTTGATCAAATAATCCACTGGCTTTTGGACCCTAATTTCAGACAAACCCCATATATATATATATATGTATAATGTATATATATATATATACATACATATTATACATGTGGATATTTTATTGTAGTGCCAGTCTGGAATGGCTAAGTTCGTAAACTGTTCACTCACTGTTGGGTGCACATGATAGATATATTGAACTGATTTTGATCGGGTTATTTAAAGGCAAACACACTGAGAACTAAGTAGGGGGGAAAAAACATGAGTAAACCGCCTGAACTACCCTTGTTGTTCGGGTTATGAATCGTGGTGGGTTTTACCACCTGGGTTAAATGGATTGTTGTAACCCACACTAGGAATATCAGAAGTATAATGGGATGGGCTAGGGATATGTTTCACGGCTCAAGGGGTTACGCTGTAGCCTGCAGAGATCGCTTGTGATTCAAATGTAGATATGGAACTTGCCATGGACAATTACTGGTTGGGGGTTGCACATAGGTATTTGTTTTGTTTAAACAATTGTTGGGATGATTACTAATAGTTTGGGATGGGTTAAAACCAGCAACCAGCTTAGATTGTGGAGTCAATTATTGAATCCTTCGCGATGCAACATGTGCCATATGTAGATGATTTGCTGATTGAACATATTGATTTTTCCCTTCCAATTGTCTTATACTGGAAGGCAATCATGCCTAGTGGGTCTCCAATTCTAGGGGGTTCTTTCAATGGGCGATACCAAGAAATGTTGACAATTCGAGTGGGATTTGACAGGGATAGCCGGGGGTAGCCGGGTAGCCCATTTTCAGACAAACCCACATGTCCCACCACGTAGGATCTCGTAGCTCCAAGGATCTGAACCTGAAAGAATGGAGGCATCATTTTATGCCAACACGATTATTCATGAACTGCTTGGTGGTTTGAAACATTTTGATTATGTTTCATAATATATATGGGATGTCATCCTTCTCATTGACTTTCATATTTTTCAAGATGGTTATTGCACCACCAACCAGTGAAAAATATCGAGCTCTACAATTGCAAGATATTCCAAGAATTCGGAATGATCATTCTGAACGGACTGCCTCATGATTTCTGCTGTGTAGAAACTGCTTTCCTGTGGTTTGGGTCGGATCCCAAAGACACCAAACCCTTGAGGTGAAAATAAAGATTCGTTTGGTATGGTGAGAACCTTTTGGCACAGGGGATGTGGCAGCATCATGTGAGTCCCAACTGTGGGGCGTTTCATTGCTGATTTGGCTTTGGGGCACCCAAATTTGTTTTTTCGGATTTTTTTTCCCTTCAAAATGGATATTCAGGGATATACCGATATAAAACATGATTTCAGTGAAAGCCAGTTACCCGGTTGACATCATTTGGTTTTGGATTGCTAGCCACTTCGAGAACCATGTTGTTTTGTGTCGACTCCGGCCTTGCCCAAAATCCTCCAGAGATGCCACAAGTGGCGTTTGGGGATGGTCATTGGTCTAGTGACCAGATGGTAAAATGGGTGTCCCCCATAGAAATTCAATTCATGGTCCAAGCACAGGCATTCCCGAAACCAAGGCATGAACAGCCTCGCCTGCAGCTGCTATCAGCTGCTCTTTTGTGGTGCAAAAAAAAAATGCTGATGCCGGGGGTGAGCGCCAGAAGGTGACAGTATGCCTTGAACTGCCCACAGTTATGGCCCGAAATAGCAGTTTTAAGTCAGTAAGTCACCCCATAGAATGATAGTCCCATGAGAATAAGCGTTTAACCATTTCAAAACATAGTATGTCTGGTTTTAATTGACCATAAAAATCTTGGAATATCTCCCATTTCGAGCAACCTCACCAGCCTGAGAATTGCCACTAGTGCTGGATAAAGTTGATCTATGAGGGCGTTTGCGGAGTCCCTGTCAAATCAATCAAAACGATTCGGTTGTACAGCAAGTTATTATGTATATATATATACATATTATATATAATATACGGTATACTATATATATATACATGTGATTATTATTATTATTATCATTATTATTAGTTTTATATTATATATATATGCAGTTGCGCTTAGTTTTCAGACAACTATTCTGTTGCAAACCTCCCCAGTTCGATTGGTGAAAATCGGGAGGCGGACTCTACAGCCATGGTGTTTGCTTTGACCAAAGCTTGGTGTTGGCTCAGGGGATCATAGGGACAGCACTGACCCCATGTCCAAGAAAAAATGCCCGGACATTCGTCACTTCCCGCACGTTTCCTTCAATCCTCCAGCAATTTGTGAAAATTCCCAGAATGTCTAAGAGTCTATACCAAGCACAACTTCTCAGCCATATGTCCACTTGTGAAGCTTCATATCATGTTTCTTGGAAAGATGAACACAGGAGCACATGTCGTTTGAATCTGTCTTAAAGGTCCACTAGCAGCTAGTAAATCTTTTGCTAGATGCAGATCAGCATATCCTCTCCTGGCTGCCTGCTGACTGTGTTTAAACTGCCACTGTAGCCGTAACCGCAGGATACAAAGAAAAACTGAAACTGAGCCGTACACAGGCTGAAGTTCCTAAAGTTATTCTAAACCTGAACAAAGTTTGGCGATTTCGACATGGGACCCCGGGCCCCCGAAAAAAACAGTGATAACCCCTTCACGGCCTGAACGGCTTTGGACTCCAGTTTTGTGGCCTGAGTTGTTTGAGCCATGTATGCTGGGACGGCGCAGAAGCAGCCGCGACGACAGTTTACCTGGAAGAAGCAAGAAGATGAAGGACTCAAGGGGAAACCTTGGAATTTCGATGCGGATCAATATGGATTGATTAAACCAATTTTAATCAAAGACGGATTAACTGTGGATAATACATGATAATACCACACTGAATGGATTATATATGGATGGTTGATGGTTGATGATGGTTGATTAATCTGGATTATTTTTCAGGCGCGGTTTCAACACAAAGGGGGCTACAATGTGAGGCCCCCCAGTTATAAGTTGGTTTATAAGCCCCAGTAACTATACTTATAAGTACCATAAACCATAGTTATTGGAGTTATAAGCCAACTTAGCTATGTTGGGGGCCTCACATTGTAAACAAGCGAAGGATTACGTGGATATCCCCTGAAAACCTGGGATGTAGTTGGCTCCTAACATCATAAATCGCCGTGATTCTGGAGAACAAGAACACATGAAAACATATGAAAACAATTGAAAACATGTGAACATGATATCACTCAATGGATTGGTTTGTGGGAAAATTTACGGGAAAACGCCATTTTTAATGGGAAAATCTATGGTTTCCGGTGTCAATTTTCCCCTAAACCAATCCATTGAATCATCCCTGTTGAATGATAAGTTGTATCCGTGTGTCCACAGAACTTCCCCAGGGTTTGGAATGGTACCGCTCTCCAAAAGCCCCCGGATTCCAGGCGAAGCAGAGCACTTGGAAAACGAGGAACTAAGGGGTGGCCCGATGGAAGTGGGGGATCGGTCCAACATACCTGGTAAACTGTCACAGTTTGCTATGGAAAATCACCATTTCACATAGCTGGGTAGATCAACGAACTAAATGGGCCAATGTCATCCAATTTCCATAGAAATGTTAGTTTACCATAGGGTAACAGTTTGCTATGGAAGGAAAATGGCCCGTTTAGAAAGTTCGATGGGTTTCCTTTAAAAAATGGTGATTTTCTATAGCTATGTTAGTCATTACCAGAGGGTATGTTGGAATATCTTGGAATCGGGACGGGGTAGAGACTTGGATTTTTGAGATATGGATTGTGTATTGGTTAACGAATGTATGGCGCACTGAAAGTATTAATAAGATACGAAATATGCATCGGTTTGAGTAGCACCTAGTATACATATAATAATTAAATGTTGTATGTTATTATACTGTATTATTGGATTCATGATGGTCAGCTGCACGAGAATGCCAATTGCATCCCTGAGTGATGCTTATCTGATCTTATTTGATTGGGGGTTTCAAAATTGTTTAGTTTAAACTTACCTTTCACCGAAATGGCAGGGATCAACATTCTTTTGGGTTCAAACCACCAATCAGATCCAATCAGTCATGAGTCATGATACTTTCTCAAGGTTGGTGCCATGAAATGTCCACATGTACCCTTGCATATTCAAACGTGGCAGGGGGAAATCCTCAAATTTTGTTCGACGAGGTTCCCGTTTGAGTGTCCATTGAAGTTGATTTTCCCGCTTAGATCTCCATGATCCTCGGAGATTGAAATGATATCAGTCTATTTCCCATTAATCCATTATATATTGATAGTTGAGGAGAAAAATATATCAATAATATCATAACATCAGTTTATTTCCCATTAATCCATTATATATTGATAGTTGAGGAGAAAAAGATATCAATAATATCATAATATCAGTAAAAACAATCCATTAATCAGGATAGTTGACATTCAATTATCCCCCATTATCCTCCATTGTCCTAACCCATGACCTCCATGGAGTGTTTGATCTTCCCATTGACATCTGGTTGGTGGTGACTGGAACATGTTTTGTGACTTTCCATGAAAAGTTGGGAATGTCATCATCCCAACTGACTCATATTTTTCAGAGGGGTAGGTATACCACTAACCAACTATAATTATATATTCTTAATTGCCAATATTATATGATATTATAGAGATATCCTGGATGGTGGTCACGGTGGTTTCAAACATGATTTGTTTTTTTTCCATTTCATATATGGGATCTTAATCCTTCCCATTGACGGACTCCATCATTTTTCAAGATGGTCAATTAAAACCACCAACCAGATTATGAACTTAACCATCATTAACCATATAATAACCATTAATATTAACCATATATTAACAGTATATATTAACCACAATGGTAGGTCAACCACCAACCAGCTGACCCATATCGGTGATCGGTTCTTATCGCAAAACACCGAGGTCACTGGCAGAACTTCCATCCTTTGCCGCGCGGAGCCAAGACCCTGGCGGACAATGCCGTGGAGTGCGTGAAAGCCATGGCGCGGGAGGACGGTCCGGAGGAATCACTGACATTTTTGAGTGCTACCATGGAGAAATGACGATTTTTTTGGGGGGAATTTCATGGGGATTTTCGTAGAAATGGAGATTTCACCGGATTTAGTGAGATTTTACTGGGAGTTAGCAAAGGTGGCAAACGTAACATTTAGTAGCTGTTGGGTTGATGGTCGATGTATAGTGAATGGGTGGAGCACCACTTTCGTTTTTTTTTGAAGAGATCCTGATTGGAAAAGAACATGGGATAAAAACTAAGCTAAGATCTAGTTTGAAGGATATATACTGAATATACTACCAACAAAAAGATACAAAAAGAAGGTTGAATTCATGATATCCCTTGTAAGGTGCTTGGTAGTTTCACATCTCATTGCGGGTTTCACTGGATTGATTGGCGTAAAGCTTGTCTAAGTCACCGGAATGGGGGGAGCTAAGGAGCCAGTGAAGTGAAGCGCCTGTAGCGTCTAAACCATTGGACAGGTCAAATATAGGGAATTGGACAGAAGATCAACATGCCTTTGATGGGAAAATACAGGAGGATTTGTTTAACCAGTGACGTATACATACAGTACAGATGTACAGATGAGATGAGAAAAGGACCAGAGGGGCTGATGCTTGGGTTGATGTTTGGTTCCAAAGTGTTGAGAGGATGGTTAGTATATGGCTACATCAAACTACGCAATCTTAGCAGATAAAAAGCCTAGGTTACAATCTTAATACCCATAACTGGGGGGTTTCTGGGGTAAAGTGGGATACATCCAGAAAGGAATCCAGATCGCTTGATCACTTGTACTTCAGGGATCATCGAACATGGGCTGTGAAGCGAATTGTTGGGTCGTTTTTTTTTGTGTGTAAGGGAAATGATGATAATGATGATCAACCACTTATGTTTGGCTTTCACGTTTTTTCCAGGTACCAAAGGCTTGTGGTTCGGATTGAATATTGCTGAGACATTGGGTTCCCAGGATTCTCTGTGAATTTTCCCAAGTTCTTCAGGCAAAAACCGGTCCAAAGACCACGCCCCGGGAGGTTTTAGTGGTGGATGTGGCTGGTGGCAATGACTGCAATGACTATGGCATGGCACACAGTGGCCCTGCGGAATATTTGGTGGAAGCTTTGGCTGCAGATCTGCACAAGATATGTTGATTTGTGATGGCGTAGATCATTATGATTTATTGCTATGCAAAAACACTATATATATATATATATATCATCCCTTCTTCCTCTTACTATAACTCCCTCAAAATAAAAAACAGGATTGGTGTGGCACTTCCGTTTTTTTTTGGTTGGGCACAATTGGATTCTTAATTGTGGTAATTGAGAATCAATAGGAGAACAGGATGGTGAAACAATGGGTTCAACCCCCTATCAATAAAAATAGATTGCCACCTGGAGTGTTTTTTTATTAGGGTCCCGTCTCACAAGTTGTTTTTTTATTTTTATTATTATATTGGGTTCTCATTGATTTATTAGGGGAAAGATTCGAAATCCAGTTTTGGGCAATATTTTATATAGATTTGAATAAGAGATTTAATCAAATTTGAAATCGAGTCGTGTTTTACTATTAGGGTTTTCATTGGAATATTAGGGGCACCCTAATACACAATACCCCCTAATAACAAAAACATAGATCACCGTGTTTACCATTTGGTGGGGGGTGGGTGGGGGCGGTTTAGTAATAGGGAGAGATGATTATTATGCAATATGATTAGAAGAGATAATGATACAATTGTGTACACAACACAATATCAATGATAAACATAACGTTAGCAGAATCATACACATAGTATCACTATGTCAATAATAGAATTAGTAAAAACAAAGTAACGACACTTTTAAAAGTAATGAACACCATACAGTATTTTTCAAAATATACCAACATACTAATGAACATGATAAAACATATACTGAGTGTATAATAGTGAAAGTTGAACAGGTAAAACAACACTAAATTTGTTTGTTGTATTGGCATGACACTACTCATTCCAAACGCCGAGAATCATCAGCCGTTTCTGAAATTTCTCTGGAAGTATGGCCATCACAGGGATGCTGGCATTGCTGGTATGAGCTCAGTAACCAGGGGAATGTGATGGCTGGCTTATTGATGGCTTTTGGCTTAAGGAGAAAGCTAAACCTTGAATTTTCAACAGCATGGCTCCAAGGCGGCCGAAGGCAAGCTGCGACCTCACTGGAAATCATGGTTAAAAGGGAAATCATCCCCAAATGGCCTTAATTCAGGCTCCGGACCACTGGGGCAGGGTGAGGGCTCTCAATGAAGGTGAAAAGCCTTAATTCAGGTTAGTGAACACTATAATTTACCCTGATATACATATATATACCTTGAGAACCAAAACCCGCAGAAATCTTAGGGTTTGATAAATACCTTAGCTTTTCTGACAAAACCCGGGGTATTTTAACCCATTCTGAAAGTACGGGTTAGGTACGGGTTAGGTACGGGTTAAGTACGGGTTCAAAATCAATACCCGAGGTCTTCAATCGAAAACCGAGGTTTTCTTATTTTTTCCGAAATACCTCAGGTTCTTGCGTTGACCCGAAGAATTCTTAGGGTTTGGGTTCTCCAGGTATATATATATATATATATATTTGTTAAGCATCAGTTGCTACGAATATAGGGTTTAATCTGTGAAACCCATTGTGATCCTGTATGATATGCGTTTTAATACAGCCAGATAGAATCAAAAACAACTACCCACCTGCCAATACTAGTAGTACTGATAACCATGTTGTTCCGGATAATAATATGAATAACAATACGCGCAAACACCCCGATTCGCCCACACCCCTTCTATGCTGTACACTTGGGGATATCAAAGACTTTACATTTAATTGGGAAGATCAACGAGGGCATTTAGAGAATATAAATTTCCCACCCCCGCTAAACTTTACATTCATTGAAGATCTTCAATAAGGGTTTAATTCTCCCGCCCCCGTTAAACTTCTACATTCATTGAAGTTCTTCAATAAGGGTTTAATTCTCCCACCCCCGTTAAACTTCTACATTCATTGAAGATCTTCAATAAGGGTTTAATTCTCCCACCCCCGTTAAACTTCTACATTCATTGAAGATCTTCCATGAGGGTTTAATTCTCCCACCCCCGTTAAACTTCTACATTCATTGAAGATCTTCAATAAGGGTTTAATTCTCCCACCCCCGTTAAACTTCTACATTCATTGAAGATCTTCAATAAGGGTTTAATTCTCCCACCCCCGTTAAACTTCTACATTCATTGAAGATCTTCCATGAGGGTTTAATTCTCCCACCCCCGTTAAGCTTCTACATTCATTGAAGATCTTCAATAAGGGTTTGATAATGATGATGATGATGATGATCTGTAAGAGACTTGCACAGGTCCCTATGCTGTGCGTGCCGATATACAACATGAAGTTAGCCATGATGCAAAAAACTCTCATTTTTACCACGTTTTCAGCACATACGAAGATGGCCGCCGACAAGCGCGGGCAAATCGAGGTGTTTGCCCGTAACAATACTAATAGCAAACACATAATCACATTTACGGCAAGTATCATGTCTATAGTGAGAATACCAGTAACACAAAGATAACACGAATTCTTAAGCTAAGCATAATACATATAAAACAAATTGAAAACAAACAACTACTACAAATTTTGATTTTGTTGGAGACTTATTCAGGTTCCATATTGCTAAAATACATGACAATGATGATACGCACAATCTTGATAGTGATACACGTATTTGAATATACATAATAGATAGATTCCATATATAGCACACTCATTTATATTTACATGTATTCATTTCACTATTATGTAAATATAATTATATATAATATACATATATCTGTAAATACATATGCAATCATATGCATTTATATAAATATACACATACACAGTATGTCACTTCTGGCGTTGTCATCTTCAAAAGCCAATGATTCGGCTGTTTTTTTGTGCACCTGCACCATGAGTATGTTTTTCCTTCAAAATCTGAGGTTGTTAACAACAACCTCCAAAAAAACATCAGCAAAATCGTTCTAGATTCTAGACTAGTGGCATGTTTAGGTACCATCTGGTTATGACTAACATAGCCATGGAAAATCACCATTTATAATAGGTAAACCATCTATAAATGGCCATTTTCTATGGCTATGTCAAATAACCAGATGGTATTTTTATTGTTGGTGTATGTTTTTTTGAGGGTTACTTTAGACTGACCGACCTATGTTAACATCCTGAGCGTACACACGTTGGATGACTTCACTGGCTGATCTCACCAAAATGAATAGAAACATGATGGGCAGTATGGGAAAACATCTCAAAAGAAACCTGTTTTTTTCTCTGATTGATGAATTATCATAGTTTGCCCAGTTAATATTATATATATATATATTATACATATATTATTCATATTGGTGGGTTAACCATGAAACACATGGCAAGGGTGCCTCAAAAAAACTGGCCCCACTCAGGACAACAGCCAGCTACAGGCGCACGCACCTGGCATCACCTTTCGTTTTAGCACCCTGGCGTCAGAGCGAATGCAACCGCGTTGAAGCGGAAATGGTGGTTGGACCCCAGATGTAAAATCGGTATCTAATGGGATTTAATGAACCTTGGGATATGTTCTTTGTTTACCTCGAACCAGGGCTGCCCGGGTAGAGATATCGAACCAATTGATGGGGGACAAAAACAACAACTTCGAACTGGGGGACGCCCATGTTGATCCATTTTGTAGTAATTGTTGATGGGGCTGAAAATTCGGAACCGTCAACATGGATCAGTCGGGTTCTCCCACTTTTTGACCCGCAACTTTGCAACAAACAGCCCTGGTAGGGTTTGGAAGTGTCGATGTGTTTGTTTCTGTCGAATCTTTGGGTACTGTACCCCCAGATCGGATGGCAATAACTCGGCTTTTCATGTCTTTTCACCATGTTTATGACCAAGCATGTCATATTCCCAAATGGGTTTGAACCGCCATTTATTTTTGAGTGCACGGGGTGGCCATACCCACGTATGATTAATTTGTTTTAAATACCTTGAAAATCCACTTGTGTAAAATGATCGCTGCCTGCCAAGACAGCAACAATTATCGTTGCCTGTGAATATTATCGCTGTTTGCTTAAATTATCGCCGCCTGATGTTCCGCAGCTGTTTGATTTGACCATTCCATATCTTGTAATCTTGTAACAAATCATTCAACAGCAAATGGCATAGAGGCAATGTTGATTTGACCATTCCATCTTGTAATCTTGTAACAAATCATTCAACTGACATAATGGGGAAGGTGGAAGATTCAGAAACTACTAACCCTCAAAAAAATGCACCAGCCCAACTTCACTGGGCACCATCGCGATTGTTTTTTTGCCTGAAGCTCAGCGATGAAACTCTCTGTGACTGAGTAGGCCAACCTTGATCAAGTAATTGGTGAGCACTCTGGTTGATATCACTCTTCCATCCACACGACGGCTCAGTCTACACAAACGGCCAATTGCATCTTCGTTTTGACAACAGTCCCAGAGCAACGGGCTGCAAACCAAAGGATCATGTCTATCCAACTGGTCTTTCACATCCAGCAGCATGTGCTTCATGAAGTGCATCTTTGGCTTGATGGCATAGAGGCAATGTTGATTTTCGAAACACCATTTGGCCAATAAAATGTAGCCATTGATGTGAGATTGGCCAAATTCATACATCACCGAAGCACAGTTGGGAGCTTGAAACATGGTGTGCTGACAAATGTGTTGGTAGAATGAGGTTCCCACCCTGGATGTCGCCAAGATCGTTTGCATGATCGGAAGCTGCGAGGCCGGGGGTCCGTCATTGATCAACCCCACCGTCAAAGTTGTAATCCATTGGACCAAAAGGGCACAGTCACTTCCCTTCACATTGGCCCAGGGATAAGACTTCTTGTTGGTATACTTGAACAACTGGGGCGTAAAACTCCGAAGTGCAGCTGTCTTCCTTGTTGCTGATAGCCACAACTTGAAATGTCCATGTGCTCTTTCAAGTTTGTCCCCAACGGTCCCCTGTGCACCAAAGTAGTTCCACCGAAGGTAAAGGAATATTGTTGAAGCAACAAAGTCTCGAAAGACCCCCAAGCGAATGGTGTGAAGAATGTCATGTTTGTACATGAACTCCGGCTTTTGGGGGTCAAATGGCACAGCATTGAGGGCAGGTTGCTGACCAGCAACATCGCTCCATGGACGTTCTCTGTAGCAAGTGTCCGTCCAGGATGGAGTGGATGAAACATCTTCAGCAGGGAGGCCGGGAGCCCCGGCCAAGCAAATGTGGCAGCAGGGCACATCAACAATTCGACCCTTTCGTTCGTATCCACGGGTAAATCTGCAGATCTTCGAATGCCATTTCAAATCGCCTTTGCTTGCCACTATGGCAACATGAAACTTTTCACCTCCAATATCCATGCCATTCTCATACAGATCTTTCAGATCGTCAGCAATGAGCTCCAACATAGATAGGGTGATATCCTTGTACTGTTTGGCATAGATCCCAGGAATCACGAACAAAGGGAAACGTTGCAAAAACGAATGCCCTTTGAGGTTGCACTGCAATGCTTTGGCCAAACGATGCAGCTCATCGTCTGGCTGCTGGTAGGTGTCCAAGTGCGTGGGATGGCAAGAACATTTGTTGACTTTGCCTTTCACCCCAAGAACCGCTTCACAAAACACAACGGTTGTGCTTGATCTCCGTTTGCCTCGTCCTTCATCTCCGTGAATGGCCAGGGGAATGATACGATCAAAGCAGTGGTGGTCAGAAAAAATTCTGTGTCCACTATGGTACATGTTGTAGGCATGCCAAAAGGCTGGCAAGGACTCAACTCCCCCAGAACCAAACAATAGGCCAGGTTCTTTTTTGATCACATACTCCAAGAGATTTCTGGGTCGGAAGTAGTGGATCGAAATGACATCACCATCTTCACAAACATAGTTGAAGACATCCTGTTCGATTTTCCAACCAATCCCAAATCGTTTGATGGCTCGGTAGGCATCCCGTGAAACGTTATGTATTTTGGTTTTTTTCAGCACACCGGCTTCCAGCAAGGCCCCATGGTGCACTTTCTCGACACTGGAGGCTGGGACCTAAGGGCTCAGGTGGGGAATAATATTACAAACACTTGAAGGAGGATATACTTTGAAAATCTTTGAAACACTGACCCTCAAGAAAGCCAGAGCTGTGACTATATTGGGGAATGCAGGGCATCCAAGGCAACACTGAGTTGGTTGTCTGAGTCACCAACCCCATCAGCAATAGCTTCGGCGTAGGCTTCTGTCAAAGGGCGTTTCTGTGGTGCTTTGTTCCCAGCACCTGCAGCATGGTTTCGATTGGTTATGTCGAATTGTTTGTTCACAAAAAGTGCTGGAGGGAAGCAATGCTCCAAGCAACCCAAGCCAGAGCTCTAAACTCTTTTTTTCATCCGATCAGCGTTGAAGTTGTTGTGAACATGGTGAAATGCGCAGGCGCTCTAATGAAAGCGCTAAATTGCTCCCCCAAACAAATGAAAGACCAGAATTGTACATAATAAACAGGTCATATCAAAGGTTGAACAAGTGGTTGATTATGAGTATAGTCTTTCTTCCTGGCCATCATTTCGAGCAATGAGCTGGGCTGGCCACCAGATTCCCAAAAAAACACCACTCTTGATGAACTACTAAAAAAATCTAAGAAGACTACAAACATTTTTTCATATTAAAACCACCACTGATGATACAGCCGCAGCCTATTGCAAACCCCTCAAGCTTTGACCTTCGCTTCTAAGGTCTACTTGTCTTTTTTGTTCTTCGCTGCACCTTTTGCCTTGGCCTTAGCTGCTCGCTCAGATGTGCGACGAGGCTTAGGAGCCTTCTTCGGGGCAGCCTTTGGATGAAGTGGCCTTGCCAAATCCGACCAAAATCAACCAAAGCCAAGAGTCTTCCCATCAAGATGTTTTGGGCAAACTTTCTGAATTTTTCAATCGCTTCTAACCCATTCATTTCGACAGAGTGTATGAAAGCTTGGCTTAGGCTTAACCGCGCCTGGAACGAAGTTCGAGCCCAAGCGCTTCCATTGCCCTTGGCCAAAATTGGGCCAAACCAATGATGTTGGTTTATACAAGTGCAATGTATAAGACCCGGACAGTGTCGAAGCTTGTCGGTACAACTCCTTGAGCTTTTCTTCTTGCCTAGAGATCACTGACATAGCTTATAGATTATACCATTGAAGGGGAGGGGTTGGAAGAAATGCAGATGATGCTAGAATTACCTTACATGGCATGTAAAGAATCGACATTGAAGGCAAGAGATTGAAAACACTCCAATTGAATCCATTGAATGATGCAAGTTTCACTTTGAGCACCCTACTGATCACTGAATCCATTCACCACCCCATCGCCATAGATCCTCTGAACCTCATCGTCCTTGGCGCTGAGGTTGTCTTGGACGCTCTTGATCTTGTTGAACATCCTCAAGATGGGCCACGTGTGGAGGAGCAACCGTGAATAAGAGAGGTTACCGAAGATGGAAATGATGAAGGTTCCGGAATCTTACTATGAATGACTAGAACTATGTAGGTAGTGTGATATCATACACAGGGCCATGAATCTTTGTATCCATTCCGTAGCTAAGATTCCGAGTTTGTAAGTCAGACAGCTTGCTGACACCAGAAAACTTGTCCAGGACCTCTTGGAGCTTGTTCTGCCGTTTGCCAAGGCAAATCCTGGGATTGATTAGACAATTTTGGGCCATATCCCCCAATCAACATTAATGACAAAAATTGCCACATAAGAAATCATAAGAAATTGTATCTTGTTAAAAGGAAGAGTGTCGACATCTTGTTCGCAAGTGGTGATGGCAAAGCGTCAAGTTCCAATTCAGGAAGACCCGCTTTTTTCCGGTCTTTCTTCAAGCTCTCCTCTTTCTTCTCTGAGTTGAGTTCTTCTGGGGTAATGTCATCATTGTCAGAAGTGTCTTGATCACTTCCAGCATCACCATCTAAAGGGTAAATCAAGGTTGGTCAACAACAGTTTTGTAAAAGGATCATGGCCATTCATTCCCTTAAACACCAGGGACATGTCCTAGTCAACCGGAATTTGGGGAACATGAGTTTACACCCCCCTACCTTTGCAGCTTGACACAGCCTTCTCCACCTTCTTTGGCTGGCAGGCACTATCCTCCAAGCTCGAATGCGGAGGCCCAGCAACGGCGGGCTGGGGCTTGTCGTATGCATCCAAGTTGGCGTTCTGTTCATCCCATCGCATTCGCCTTTTCAAAGAAGTTCTGATGGTCTTCCTTGAAGGCAAAGATAGACCAATCAAGTATTTGTTTATGTGAGGTTATGTTCCATGGAAATCACACTGGTTGACTTAAGCTTGGGAGCCGCTGGAGAGCTTTCACCGAAGTCTCTGCCCAGTAAAGGTACAGGCCTTTCTCATACCAATCCCGCCTGGGCTGGAATGAGACTTGAAGGGTGCATGCATAATTTTTAGTCACTATCATATCCGAGTTCGTACATATATAATTATATAT